TCAAAAAATGTTTACCACAGTAAATGTTTTAATTCTGTGACCACCACTGTATATCGAATTGCACGAAATTTGGCATTGGGTACTCAATTAGGTCCAGAATGATGTGTGCTAAGTTTCGTTTACATCGGTTCAGATAGAGGAGAATATATATTTTCTTCCGATTTTAGTGTGCACCAAAGCCTCTATATAGGGTAAACGCACCTAATTCCGGCATGTACCAATAGTCGGCATCTTTTTTATATAACTTCAAATAACTAAAAAATCCTATAACTAACTATATGAAAAATACCTCGAATAATCTTTAATAACACTGCAACCTATCTCTGTATAAAATTTAATCGAACTATGTACATTTATTGAGTCAAAATTTGGCATTTGGTCAATGAGGTTTGTCAACACTAACGATAAATCATGTTTCTTAAGAAGAAATTAGTGGGCATGTCAATTGCAAAAGACTTGTAACTATATTAAAATTATATATTTTTCACAACGATCTTCTTGGTAATTGTAAAGAACATAGAGAAGAATACTTTAGAATTTAAAATAATTAAAAAATATTTGTAATTATGATATTTTTATCGATGCCGCCCTTAGGAACACAATTTTTAAAGGTTTTCCTATAGTCGGCATATGGGTGAATAATAAGCACCTTTTCGATCTTTTTGGCTCAAAATTGGAAAAAATTTTAAATAAGTGCTCTAAATAAAGATTAATTTATAAAAAATCAGTTTTGGGTGGTTTTACATAATGGAAGACATTGTTTAATCTTAAATGTGTTTAACCTATGAAATGCCTTATTTAGCCATGCCGAGAATTGGATAACAGTTTCCCAAAGTCGGCACCATGTTTTATAATTGTAATATTTTAATAAATAATATTATTTTATATAACTTGTTTAATATAACACTGATGAAAACGTCCCATAGTAATAATTTATTATTGCAAATAGCAGAAAAATGCATTAAATATATAATTTTTGTTTAACTAAAATGCGACATGCCGACTATTGGAACATAACATGCCGACAATTGGAAAAACGTGCCGACTATTGGCACAAAGGCACTTTTATACATAATTATTAATTTAATCTAATTTAATACATATTAATTAACCAAATTTGTATTCCATCGGTGAGTAAACAAAATTTTGAAACAGATGAACCTGAATATAATATCGTGGAAAAAATGCACTCGGAATGGTGAAACGTTTAAAAAGCGGAAATTCTTAAAGTGCCGACTATTGGTGCGTTTACCCTATATTTCGATTTTCATGAAATTTAGCATAGTGTACTGAATTCAGTTTAGAATGACGTGTGTCAAGTTTCGAGAAAATAGGGCCAGATTTAGATATAGCTCCCATATATATTTTCGTCCGATTTAAGGTAAATGGGGCACCAAAGTCCAAAAAGATATAGATATAGCTCAGGTATATTTTCGTCCGATTTTATTTTAATGGATCACCAAAGTCCCTCTATATAATTTGCCTTGAAATCAGTTCAGATTTAGATATAGCTTAGCTTCCATATATAAGTTCGACCTTTTCATGCTTATTTACACCAAATAATAAATGGGTACCTGATTGATATTATTTCTAGTATTTTTTCAGGTATTTACTTTCTAGTATTTTTTCATTTAAACGTTTCACCATCCAATTGTCAGCATGTCATGTTCCAATTTAGTTGAACAAAAATTATATATTTAATAGATTTTTCAGTTATTTTCATTAATAAATTAATTTTATCGGACGTTTCAATCAGTATTGTATTGAAAAAGTTATAAAAAAATAATTTTATTTATTAAAATATATAAATTATAAAACATGGTGATGCCATGCCGAGAATTGAATAACAGGCTCCCAACTGTTATTCAATTCTCGGCATGGCTAAACTAGGCATTTCAGAGGTTAAAATAATTTAAGATAAAAACGATGTATTCTATTAAGTAAAACCACTCATAACTCTATATTTAGAGCACCTATATAACATTTTTTTTTTTAAATTTTGAGCCAAAATAGCCGAAAAGTTGCACTGCAGGAAAACCTTGAAGATTTTTGTTCCTAAGGGCGTCATCAATAACAATATAATTACAAATATTTTTTCATCATTTTAAATTCTAAGGTGTTCTCCTGTATGTTCTTTACAATTTAAAAAAAATCCTTGTGAAAAAGATATAATTGTAATATATTTACAAGCCTTTTAAAATCGACATGTCCACTAATTGTTCTTAAGAAACATGAATTATCGCTAGTGTTGAAGAAACTAATTGTGCCTGAATGAATATACTTAGCTCAATGAAATTATATACAGAGATATGTTGCAATATTATTGAAGATTTTTAATGCTATTGTTTGTAATTTCCTATTTTATACAAATATGTATATCATCAATCAAAGAAGCCTTCAATACACCAAATAAGCGAAAATAAAAAATATATTTAATACTAAGTATATTTATAGGCCAACACCATTAAATTACATTTAAATTCTAAGTCATTTGTTGAAATCCCTATAGAACTATATTTAAGACAGAGCATTTGGTTTAAACCCCATATAACATTACCCACAAATATTCGCCATTTCTGTAATGCTGTAATTCGGTATTTCGAGCTTTCATTGTGTAGGACATCGTCCTACAAAAAATTATCAAAATAGGCCTACTTTCATGGGAAGCCCTAATATATCCCCATTTGCCGTTATTTTGGGAATGTAGTCATGTTTTCCAATCAAATTGGCTACAATTTAGAATTTTGTATTGTTAATATGTAGCAAATGTTCTTACTAAAAATTAAATTAGTCCACTTTTCAGTTAGCTCATAAATGGAACACCCCTAACGTTTAGTATTTTCGGATTTTGTCACGAGTTTTGAGCAAATTGGCTGTAATTTCTTTTCATTAAGTGTCAAATTTTCATTCCAAATATGTATAATGAAAAAGGTCGCAGTATATAGTCTCCGGAAAAATACTGATATTTTAAATGTCCACCTCATTGTGGAGGGTATAACAAATTCGAACCGGTTAACATTTTTAACAAAGAGTAGAGTATCTGTGGGTAGGTACGAATAGAACTGGTGTGGTAAGATTATCGCGTTGGACGTCCACTGGATCAAATTGTATTATACACCATTCGCTTCATATGTATTTTTAAAAATATTGCGATTGGTATGAATTTATAAAATTTGTACATTTTGTTGGGTACCATATCTCCGAACTTGATCTAGTTGTGATGAATTGAATATTTAGAAATTTCTAAAAATTATTAGGAGGTACTCGAACTTGTGTACTGATAAGCCCAATCGTCAAATAATCTAGGGGTCAATTTCGAATTCTAACATTTTATCCATATGTAGGACTCGTACCCCTGGTCAGGAGCATTTTTTCGGATTAGCCATTTTTTGTTAAAGAATGTTCGTCCAGCTTTGGCCGTCTGTTTAAACAAAAAAAAACTTTTTATCTAACCCTACTACCACGTTATGGGTCATTTGACGACCCATAGCGTTTTATCATAATCATATTTGTTTAAGGGAACCCCCCCCCCCATTCTCGATTTTTTATTTTTAAGATTTTAAATGGGCTGGTAAATGAATACCAATGCTTGTTAAGGTTTGTAACTTTGCACATATATATTTGAAGATTTAAAAAGGAAGAAAAATAATTTACAAAAAATTTTTGTTGTTGTTTTGTTGTTGTTTTTTGTGATCAAAGAAAAGTCCTTATTTTTGATGGCGGGCATGATAACTCCTCACTGGAACATCGGAATCCGAAAATTCCAACGGTGTTAGAAAGAGTACATGTCTGGCTCTCGTATGAACTAGGATTATTGACCTCGCTCTAAAATTAAAAAAATGGCGGACCTTTGAAAAAATATTTTTGGAAAATCGCCGATTTTTTACCAAAAACCAAGTTAAAAAATAAGGAAGATCTTCACCGATTGGCTTTATCCTAGTTCATACGATAGCTGTACACTCACAGAGAAACGTGTAAAAATTTGAAATCGATTGGGTTATTAGTTTTTGAATTATCGTGCCCGCCATTCGCAAAAAAATGTTTAGAGAAAAACGCGTTTAAAGTTTGAGAAGCTCTTCAGCCGTCACTTGATGCTGACACAATAAATCGGCTATATCTTCAAGAGTTCTTGAGATTTTTACTTGAAATTTTGCAGGGACATTCTTGAATTAGTATAGATTGGAATTAAGTCAACAAAAATTTTGACCCCGAGAATGGGGGGGGGTCCCCTTAATGGTGGAAATTTCTAACTACTCACTGCATGAATCACAAGCTTTAAAAATTTTAGAAAAGAGCATATTAAAATTTCATCAATATAAAAATGGGTGTCAAAGTAGCAGGATTAGCCTAGCATTTTTTTTAAGCATAGCCAAATTTGTCACCTGGGCATTAGATTAAAAAAAAGTCCGCCCATAGGTCTGCTGCATGGAAAAAATGGAAATAGTTACTCTAAAATGAAATAGTGATCGCGTAGCCGAATTTTCTTAACATTGTTTTGAGTAACTCAAATGACCTCTTTCACATTGTTACTATACCTAATGCATCAAATTACAATGTAATGTTCGTGATAACGCGGATAAGGTTTTTTTAATTTAAAATATCCCACAGAAAATCTCTGATTAAGCATAAAGGTATTTGTTTCATTCGTTGTATGAAAAGTAAATCGTAGAAAAATAACTTAATCATATGGGATTACATAGATCGGCTGTAAAAGCCAACATCTAATTTATATAAATTCTGTTTTAATCGGCTGTAAAAGCCAACATCTAATTTATATAAATTCTGTTTTGTAGCTTCCAAGCTAACAATCCACTTGTAGATCCAACCATCAACTCAATACATTCACTTTTTTGTCACAACAGATGTTATTTTTTTATTCTTTTTCGCAAAACATATTCACATTATCTTTAAAGTTGCTTTATCCAGTAAACAACCCGGAAAACATACAAAAAATATTATTTAAAAAAAGACGAAGGTGACACTTTGTTGTTTTGAGTCAATCCACAACTTGGACCAATCTGCTATCTAGATACATGGTATCTATCTATTTAGCTTGGGTGGTCTTCTTGGGCTTGGCTTGGGTACCTTCACGGAAGCCGTTGCGGAAACGTCTACGGACAACCTTCAAGTGACGCATGCGGCCGGTACCAGTGGTCTTCCTCCTCTTGGCCTTGATGGACCAGTTGTCTGTAAACAAAGAGAAAAGGATAAATAAAATTAGCTAATATTTCAAAATTACATGTTTATTTTGTTTTATTGGACATGTCCAAACACACAAAATGATTCGAGGATAAAATTATCCACTTATGCATAACATTTGTAATGTTTGTTTTCATCTGCCTGTGTGCTTGGGACCGAAAGCTATTGCAAATAAGCTAAGATCTTCAAAACACAGGCACAAAATTGGAAAAGCAAAATGTCCAAAGTTTCAATTTGACATAATTTAATATATGAATTGTGCCTTTCCGATTTTGTTTTTGTTGTTATTCACATATAATAAGATACTTACAGGAACGCAACTTAGCAGCGGGATAACCGCATTGAGCGCAAGTTGACTTTTGGATGTGGTAGGAGGAGCGACCGCAACGACGGCACAAAGTGTGCGTCTTATTATGGCGTTTACCAAAGCTGGATGTACCTTTCGTCTGTAATATTGAAAGAAATAGATATTAACAAAAATATTCCAAAATCGTATTTTTCAATTCAAAATGAATCACTTTTTTTAAATCTTGCTGGAGTTCAAAACCATCACTATTCCATATTGTAAACACAACAACACCAATTTTGTCGATTTCCAGCACACTCACTCACTATTTCACTTTACATTTATTTTATTTGCACAATTAAATATCGACATTTATCACACAAAATTTTCATACATTTTACACATTCGTCCATTTTGCATATTTCTTGTGCATTTTCACATAATTTTCATTGGTGATGGCTTAGAATTTTCAAGATTTAAAAAATTTTCACAAAATATAAATAATTCCTACCATCTTGGATCGAAAGACCGCAGAAGAAAGAGCGACACAAAGAAAAGGCCGAAATACGGCCAACTTCGCATGACGTTTGTAGTTGTCAAAAATGTAACTACAACTAACTTCACGTGAAGAAAACACTTTGTAAAGAAAACTGATTGGCAACGCGAGATGTATTTAAAAGTTCAATTTATTTATTTTGTTTAATTAAAAAATAATTTCACAAGGAATATATGAATTTTGTTAATAACTTTAATAAATTGTCTTCGCCGCTTTTGATTATTATCGCGATCGGAGCAGAGCTGCAAATGTTACCAATATAGCGTTTTTAGGAATGTGCGGGTCAAGAAAATATTAATATTAATTTCATATATAAGAATAACGTAAAAAATCATGTTTTTAACTTCTGCACATCTTCATGGCATGGAGTGGATTAAATGATCAACTATGTCGTTTGGATATTATCCCTCTGATCATTTAGGCCTACATAGAAATCCTCAATTTGTAAAAAAAATTGATTTTCAATTTTTCGTTATACAATTTCTCCCATGGTACAATTATAAAAGGTAACAGTAAATCCCAGCTGATTTGATTCCAACGTAATACTAGTGTCAATATGAATTTGACAAATTATGTTTTTTAAAATTACCCAACAGGAAAATTGGGAACGCATACAATCTGAAATTGTTCTTTATTAATGTGCTCAATCTGCCTGCTGGGAAAGTTTCAGGAAGCACATTTTTCTTGAAGGAATAACTCGCTATTCCCAGCATTGTCATATGTGTTACACATATATATGGCAATGGCTCAATTAAAGGAAAGATGTGGAATCGATAGAAATATAAATTTGATAGATTTTCATTCAATTTTTATTTTGAGGATTCGAAAATATTCCATTTTCAAAATAAAAATAATTTGATGATAATTTGTTTGTTTGTTTACATTTTTCTGTCAAATGAGTTGACACTAGTAGAACTTACAACAACAAATTTCCATGTGGTTGTTGTATCGTTTTTTGTACAACAACACTTGCTGTTACCTTTTATTATTATACCATGAATTTCTTCAAAGATTCTTTATGAGATTTAGGTCAGGTGATTCAGCAGGCCAATCAAGCACACACAATTTTTTATTGGATATCCGTTGTTTTACCAACGTAGACGCGTGAATAGTGTCATTGCCTTGTTGAAACATCAATGGGAGAGGCATTTCCCACACTACGTCGGATGAAATATTTTGATTATCTTTTGACCTTATAATTCTAGTGAATTTATAAATCGGATCAATAACTTTCTCTGAAAAATACCCCCATAGTATAATGTTTTACAAAACCGTTTGTATATCTTGGTTTAAACATTTCGCCTTTTAGCCTACGCACCAGACACCTGAATCCGAACTCTGTAAGTTAAATGTAAACGGACTATAAAATTGCTTTGTTTATTATTACCAATAGGGTCTATTTTTAGCCGATCTTTTTTAATGGTTATAAAACTCTCGAAATATTAAAAAAAAGAAAGTTTATTATACAGTTGCAAATGTTTTGAGCGGGCGAAAAATTCGTTCTTTATATTCTTGTGAAAATAACATCAACGTATTGAAATATATTATTTTTTCCAAGTATTATTTAGAAATATGGCTCATCAAAGATTGTTTTTAGACATAAGTAAAAATTATAAAACCATCTAAATTTTAAGTTTCGCCTCATTTTATTGCATTGAAATTCTAGTTGGAAATGTTTTGAGCAGCACTGTATACTTAAGGTATTCAAGGTAGGCTATAGCAACTTATAAATATTATTATTTTTTTTTTTTTATATTGTGGCTTGTATATGATTTTTCGAAAAATTTATTCTAAAATCCATTTGTTTAAATATGGATTTTACAACATTGGTAAGAAGAAATGTATGATTTGTGAATGAACGAATATGTAAAACATATTCCCACCTCGATTTTGAAACGAAAACCTGACATTTCATTCATTTTTCGCGTTTTTGGTAAAATGTTACTAATATGACAACAGAACGACTTGTTGCATTTTTATTCTGGCATTATAGCCCACATATGTGAAGAAGAAAAATGTAAAATTCAAATTTTAGCTCAAGTTATGCGTTTTCCAATACATTTTAAGCACAAAATGTGTACAGTAATAATTTTTATATGAAAATTTATTAAAATCGCTATTTAAATCCTTATGCATTTAGCCATTGTGTTTACGAATTATACCTTCGTCTGAAATGAAGCTGATGTGTTGCTATATACCATAAATAAACTTTTTAAACAAATCGATTTCAGTTGGCAACACTTTATGCAGTTCACGTAGTTTTGCTTGTTCTTGCTTTTTTACCGTTGGTTTTTTTCTCGCCCAACAAATTCGCAGCTTTGCAAGTTATTTCCATTTCGCATAGAAAATCCCGGAAATTTTCAAGGACTTCCAAACGCTATGAGTGTTCCCGAAAGTGCTGTGGGTTCAGAAACCGAACTGCTACAATGTCCCTATGAAATATCTCATATGATTATGCGCAAACGTTTTCAAGTTCATTTGGTGCGCTGTCGTAAAAATCATCCCAAAGCTGAGGTGGTGACTTGTCCTTTTAATGTCACCCATCGTGTTAATAAAGTCGAATTGGAGGTATGTACATTAAAAAAATACGATTTTCAAGGTTGTAATTGACTCTTGTTTCTTTCTCTTCGCACAGTGGCATCTTTCCAATTGCTTTGATCGCAAAAGTTTTGAAAATTTCCGTAATCGCCCAGCTCCTGTCGTCGGCCTTAGCTCATCCATAGATCGTACTTTCTGTGAAAGTGATGCCACCAATCGTAGCTTATCCATAAGTCTTGCCAGTGATGTTACTATTGTGGGTGGTGAATTTGTAGAGCCAACAGAGTCGTGGGATGATGAACCACAAGTTCCAAGCTATAATCCAACCGATTATATACATAAAGCTGATGTATTGCGTATGCCCGTAGGAATGACACCATCCGAACGAAATGCTTTTCGTTTGGCCGAACGAAAACGTTTACAGTCGTTAGCAAAATAAGTTTTTAGGTTATGTAGATACATATGTGATAATTCGATTTCTTTTTTAAAAGAATATACATGAATTGTTTTTCGTTTTTTTTTTTTAATTTAACTGAACACATGCGTTTTCTGTTTTAAGTTATTCCTTAATAAATATACATTTAAATTTGTCTTGTGTACAAACTTCAGGCAAAAAAGGACAGTTGTATATCATGAAATTCTGAAACTTCATTGGAAATAAATGTCGGCGCCCCTTTGGTGTACAATTTAGGGAAATTGTATATGATAAAGCCCTTATCATTCGTTGTTGAATAGTTCCATAAACTACATTTCAATGAACTGTCAGTATTCCAATGTGGAAGGGTATAAACATTTCGGCTCGTCCGAATTAATAATTTTAGCCAAGTTTATTTGGTCCAAATCCGTTTCAAACAATTTAGAGTCGATTAACAAATGTCCGTCTATCTGCCTGGGTGGTGAGCACGATGACTTCCGAAAAGATCCCCTCCATACTTTGCACGTAATATATTTTTTAAATCTAATCAATCTTAAAGATATGGTTTGACCCTAAAAGGGTCAAAATTTTGAACATTTCTAATTATGAATCGAACGGAATGACTAATTTCACCTAAACGTTGCCAATAGTAATATTTTTTTCAATAATTGACGTAGTGTGAAGATATGATACATCGACTCACTACCTCGGGTACTTATTACACAAAGTACCAAATTTGTGAACATTTGTAAAACCAATCTCAGTGGAGAGTTCGATTTGATCCAATTTTGCACATAGTAATAGTTTAGTCAAACCTAGAAAATGATGAAGATCTGACCCATCGATCTCCACCTTCTGGTATATGCCCCACAAAATGTCAACTTTGTACATCGTAATATTATACATAGTGGATCCATCATCTCCGGTACCTCTACCCAAACCGTCATATTTTTCAAAAGTTTAAAATTTAATAAAACAAATAGATCCATCTAGAACGTGTTTCTATAGAAAAATAAAATGTCAGGAGGGTATATGTCTGCCGGCAACACCGACAGACAGTATGTTTTACGAGTTCTTTTAAAATTTTCTATGAATTTGTGTATCAGTCATAGAGGCGTGTTTACACAACACATGTCATTAAATGCCACCAGTAATCCCATGCCTGATTTAATGATAGTTGGCAACACCACACACTTGTTATCTTGATAACCATTTGTTGTGTTTGTTGTAACGCTATTGTATTTTTACCAAAATTTACCAATCAGCGGAATTTTGAAGTAAACAAAAAAATTGAAGTGAAGATATTTATGAAACCTTACATTTCGGCAAGATGATGTTTATCAACGATGAGGACATGGTTGAATGTCCCTACAATAAGGCTCACCGTATGTTAAGGAAACGTTTGCAGTCGCATCTTCTCAAGTGTCGCCTGCAGTATCCAAATGTTGAACTAAGGAAATGTCCTTTCAATTTGTCACATTTGATACCCGAACCTGAGTTTACAGTAAGAGACTTAGGAAAAACACGTGCGTATAATTTTTACATTTTATAATTTGTTTTTATTATTTTAGCATCATGCCACGAACTGCCCAGATCGTAAATTGATAACACAATATAAATATGATGCTCCCGAAGATTTGGATGAGGAAAAGCCTAAACATGCGCCCATTGAAAGTGAAGAAAACTGGGATGAGACAGATGTAGCCGATTACGACCCGAGCACTTATGTGGAGAAGGCAACTGTCATCAGGTGTCCTCAGGGTCCAACACCATCGGAACGCAAGGAATTTATAAAGCAGGAACGAAAACGTTTGGGTGATGTTGATAGCGAGGGCGACGACGATAATGATGGTGTAGAAGTGTTGGAACCTAGAAGTGAATCTCGTAATAGTGAACGCTGGGAACGTTCAAGAAGTAAATCTCCAGCACAAAGAACTAATCGTAGTGATAGAATATATAATTGTAATGATGAGCCTTATTACAATCGTCCTGTAAATATAGAGAATGCACCAAGAAATGATTCTAGAAACAATCATAGACGATATGAACGTACTCCACCGCCACCACCAAATATATCTGGCAGTGATAACAGAGCGTATAATTGTGACGATGATCCATATTATAGAAGTAATGCCACATCAACATCATCTCGTTCTTATCACGAAAAAGATGATCGATATCGCCGTCAGCGTCCACGTTCACCAAAACGACGTTCTTCCAGAGATCAATTGCCACCAAAAAAAATTTATACACATAATTCAAAATCAAGATATTCCAAAGAACGTTCGCCATCGAGAAATACAAGAGGTTATTCTCCTTCTAATCATAAAAAGTCAAAATACTCTGATAGCCGAGAATCTCATAGACATAGGAGTCGATCACCCACATATAGTCGGAGACGGAATGATAATTATTAAGAGCTTTAGTTTCTTATTTCATTGGTATGACTTCATTTACTATTTTTTGTTATACATACTTTAAATTTTAATTAAGAACTATTAATTTTAGTTTGTCAATAAAACGAAAACGAGATATGAGAATAAATGAATGGAATCTACAGGAATATGTAACCAAAATAATTTAATTGATTGGATATTAAAAGAGATGGAGAGTGGGAGAAATACGAGATCAATTGGTTTCTTTAAGACAGGTGATTGGACTGAGAGAAATCTCATTAGCTATCATTGACCTGGAAGACATCGGTGTGTAATCTGCTTTGCCAGAGATATGTCTAACAAATCCCTAACAAAATCCTTGAACATAATTTTCTTCTTAAAAATTGGAAGGATGGCGACATCTGCATCTATCAGAATCTCTACCAATGTGGTGCATATGGGTACCCAGTGTATAGAAGCAAAAGGCCCAAATAAAATAGGCCAAAGCCCGTTGATAGAGGAACAGTAGTCTGGGTAAACGAAAGTAGGTACAAGTATTTGCATGAACCTTTGAAGTCAATGCCAATACCAAACTAAAGAGAATCTATGATTAAAAAAACTAAACCGGATGAACATCCCTTGTTACGTAGCTACAAAATTCAATTTGCTCCATGATCATTGCATTGAGCCCAAATTTACCCTGCATTCTTAAAAAAATACACTCCACACTAGTTTTCCTTATATTTATTGTTCTTGATTTTGAAAATGTGTATTTATATCTGTGGTATATGTTTGTAATTCCACAGTAGATTGTGTCCCACTATCGGGTTGTTGCATAGCGATTTGATTTTGTCCGTCCAAAAGACTCATGAGGGTATTTTGATTTACAATATTAACATTATTCGCCATGCCAGATGTTCCCATAACAGTGGTGGCATTTGAAAAGTCTTGCATTCCCAAATTATTGCCATCCGAAGTTGATGGTATTTCAAAGATATTCATAAAGTCACCCTCTTGGAATTCCTCCTTTTGCATACTTTGACTTTCTTTCATGAGTTTGTCGTATTCCTGGAAGACACCATTGAATTCGGCAATTTCCATGCGGTTCTAAGGGAGGAAGAAAAGGATACATTTAACAAATCTCTTTAATTATATTATTAGCTGCTTACCTTTGCTATCAAATGATGTTTAAAATAGTTATGAACCTGTGTTAGCGAATTATTTGTCATCGAATAATAGGCCTTTTCTAAATTTTTAACTTCAATATCGCGTTGCGTTTCCAATTTAGTATCATTGGCATGAACTTCTCGTACACTTTGCAGCAAATTTCGCATAAATTCCTCACAGGCATCGGCGAATAGAACTAGTGCCGATTCAGCTGTGTCGGTAAAACCAGCGACACGCATTTGACCGCATACCGCTTTACGCAAAGATGCCCTACATATTTCCGAGGTGATTTTAGGATAATTTTGTGGTACACCTTTGGCAAAATTGGTATCTTGTGGTGGCACAAACCAAATTGGTTTTGTAAATTTATCGTCGGATACAAAATCGGCTACGTTTTCTGGTGGGAAATCTACTTCGGGTATCATTTGACAAGGGTTTAGGAGGTAATTAGAGGTGCCCTGGAAAACAAAATCCAAAAATATTTTTGATAAAGTTCAATAATGTTGCAGAAAATATTTTCTAAGGAGGCCTTCTTTAGGAAATATTTGTATATAAAAAGTAGGTATTTTCTTCGGATATATTTCAGTTGAGTCCTAAGCTATATTCAGCTTATACCAAACCCCCAAACATGAAAGAAACCAAGATCAGGTCGATGATCATTTAAATTGTTTTATATCTAGTCTAATGTGCCCTTAGTAAACTACGCAATAGCTTGCATTCCCTTCCAGATGTAATGCAGTAAGACCAGTAGGTTTTTCAGATTTTCCTTAGATGACTAGAAAACAAAAAGTTCTTTTTATAGAACACCAAAAGGTTTTCTCATAAACAAGCCACTTTTAGAATATAATGTTCACACATAATCTTATTCCATGATATCCTTAATTTTACATACCGACTTATTGGAATAGGTATCAATCAGCGACTGTAACATTTCCGTTTGTTTCATAACTTCTATGGTTTGAGTTACCAAGGGATTTTTCACTTTAACCGTTACACTGAAAATATGAAAGACACACTGTTATTTTCTTATAAACCAATATAATTAATTCTCCAATACAAACTTTTTGTTAATTTCAACTGGTAATTGATTTTGCACTTCCGACAATTTGATTCGCTTTGCACTGAGCGGCACCACCTTGTTTAGGTCAGTCTGTGCTGGTTTTTCATCATCACAGAATTCGCCCCATAAGTTCCTCGGCATGTTTTTCTAACAGATTTAAAAATATATATTTCAATTAATTTCTTTACTACTGCAGTTTTTTTTGCACTGCACTACTACAAATATTTTTGTTTATAAACAAAACATTCACTTAAGATTGATAACAGTATGCTCTGTTGTGAACTAGCAGGCCACACATCAATTTGTCAAATAATTTGCATTCAAATTTTAATAGTATTATTCCATGTTCTGACGGACATTCGAACAACGTAATTCGCTCTCAGAATTACGTACATGAATTAACCCGTTCATACAACAGTATTCTTAATTCATGTCATCAGAATTTTTATTTCAAACTTTTTGTTTCTTGTTTTTCACCAAAATTCTAGCATATTTGCATGAATCACATATGGATCTAAATAGAAAAATTAATTCTCTTTCTCCTGAATATAAAATGAACCCATATTTATTTACTTTTAATTCATATTTTCCATTTTCTCTGAAAATATTGTTGTTTTCTTACATTTTTATATTTTCTAAATTCAAATGTCACATATAAAAATTTGGAGAGTTTTTTGTTTGAGTTTCCCCAAATTTGTTTCTTGTTTTGTACGCTAATAAGAAGCAAGGGGAAAGAAATTCATATCACATTATGTAGGTAACAAAATTTACTTTTCATTCATCATTTTCAATTTTACTAAAAACGTTTGAAAATGTTATAAATTTTTTCAAGCTGTCAAAATTAATTTATTTTCGATAAATGTTCTCAATTGTTAGGGATGGGACAAATTTCTTGGTTATTCAGAGAGTGATTCGAATTGAACAATGTACAAAAGTCGGTGTTCGCTCAGAAAATTTTGTATGGGGAACTAAATAATTACTTCATAATTAAGGATCGAACAACGAATGAGAGAGCGCTCGTTTGTACATGGCATTTGATCGGATCAATATCACGGTACAAACGAAAGAGGTGGTAGCTTAATAGATTCTGAAAATGTTTATATTTTCCAATCCACTATATGTCAGTAGTAGCACATTAACTTAACACAGTCAAGGCCAAGGTAGATATACAAGGTAGTCGCATCGGCGAATTGGGAACATGATATGTCAAAATTGTTTACCAGGCGAATAATACTAATTTCGCCGTGACATAAAAAACTCGAAGCAAATTAAATTCAACCAATCACAATTAAGCATTTTGAAAAAAGAAAAATATTTGTTTACTTTTTAAAAATTGAAAATTTTTAAAATAAGTTGTGTAAATATCTGATTTTTGAGTAGAAAAATACATCAAAAGTGCGCCTTAAATGTGATAATGTTGGTGACATCGGATGTAGTGTGAGATAACAAGATTTAAGCTTTCTTTACGTAGTTTTATCATGCCCTCACATGAAATGTTTTAAAACAATATATAATAAAGACAAAAACGTCCTATCGAACCAAATCTTCTTTTCGATCCCAAAGTCTTGTTTTTGATTCCATTGACTTCTTAAAGAAATATCATCTCCATAGCCTATCGGTATGCCTTTTTATCCTTTTTTATTCTTTATTTTCAAATATATTTCAATTTTTAAATTCTTGTTTCGAAATGGGTTTGAAAAAAAATCAAAAACAACAACAAACTGTTATGACATATAATGTTACCATCAGCTGGTTTGATACGGTTACCTTCTTAATATACCTTGGTCAAGGCTTATTGTGTGCAGTCTCCTCTTATTTTGGCCGTGAATAGAATAATTTGCCAACAATTGGGTTCGTAGGGTTGCAAAAGTTTTGGCAGTGACATAGGAAATGTTCCAACTTGCTTCTGTTTTTGACGTTGAAATATCATGTGAGAGTACCTGTCAGTCTGCTGATATATTTCTTCTAAGCATTAAGATTTTATGGGGAACTAATGACCTTGATGCCATATATACGAGCCATAAATGTCATATATACTGTCAAATTTTACATATCGCTCAATATACTGACGGAACTGGACGCAAGAATTCCATTGGGAAAAGTTGGGGGCTAAAACCATCGACTATACACTGGTTGTATAACACCGTGTTAGGCACATCCTTTCTTATGGTTCTCTTGTTTGGTGGCAATGCCTGCGCTACAAGTCGACTAGATAAGGTACAGAGAGTGTAGTGTTTTCCATGATGAAATCTTTCTCAGTTAAATATATCTTTCGGAGTTAAATATATTTTAACTTTTTGCGTGCGTTAACGCGATAACAAAAAACGCTCAACGCGAGCATTCTGCTTAGCCCTTTACTTACAGCTATCGGCTGTGTTGGGTACCAGGACACCGGGATATCATCGGTAATGAAAGAGCAGACGAATTAGATAGACGAGGATCTCAATCTACAGATCTAGCAATTGATTGCTCAATCAAACCACCCATATGCCATCTTTATTGGAACTTTGAGGCGTTCTTCAACAAAAGAGAATTTGGTACGACGAACACATTAAATATGTCAAGATATATTTGGCCGACTCTGTTTACCAAAAGAACCCACTCACTGTTGAACCTGAACAAAGCTGAAATAATAGTAATGACAGGAATCATTACTGGTCATTGCAATATCAGGCTTTTACCAGTAAATGGGGCCATGATGTTACTGATTACTGTAGACTCTGCGTTGACAAGGAGGAGACGAAGACAATTGCGCATCTCCTGTGTCGCTGCCCAGTCTTGGCCTACAGAAGGCACAGACTAGTGGGTGCTCACTTTCCACCGATCATTAGTTTATTCTCAAGAACGGAATCTGCTCTAATCTACAGCATCATTAGAAACCTTAAGTGGTTGGGAAATTGCAACCTTGGCACGTAATACATTTTCTGTACGATCACTATAGCCATCGATACTATCTCATACTTACCTTCATATACTTCCTTGTAAGCTTCTCATATATCACTATCCCCCTTTTTTCTCCCCCCAAAGATCTCTCCATATATTTTTCTTTTCTTGGATGATTGCAATGGAACTGATGGTCTCAGAGTGCTACAGCCATATTAGTCACTGGACATCCCAAACCTAACCTAGCCCATGAGTCTCGGTCTCGTATCAGAGTTTACATCTGGTTGGGATTACGACTGTAGCCGATTCTATATTTTTATGCATTATATTGTGTCCGGTGCCGATTTAATTGGATGTATATTGTCCCACATTTATCTAGCAAAATGTTATCGCAGTAAAAATATCTATATTTTTATGCAGTATATTGTGTCCGGTACCGATTTAATTACCATTTATTTGTAACTTGTCTTTCAAAGGTGAAAGTCGATTAAACGATTAATTGGTTGATTGCCTTACCTATCTCTAAATTCAATGAGTTGCCACGCCACCCATTTGTGTTCATAATCAGCTGTTTATGTTTTCATTCAGTTTTTTTCTTATTGGCGGGATAAATGATCCGCATTCAATTCAGGAAGTACGCAATATATCTTCGATTTACAACCTCTTCACATTACTACCACGCACAAAGGATGCATGCCATTAAAGGAAAAGTTGCAATTGATGAAAATCAACTAAATTTGGATCTAACCCTACTGGGAGGACAAAGTTTCCGGTATGTTACAATAACTTATATCTCCCTTCATAAGAATGAATGAAACATCGTTTTTTCTTTTAGATGGGAAAAATTGGAAGTTGCTGGTAGTGATGCTATATGGAAAGGAGTTGCATACAATTCATATTGGGAATTAACACAAGATTCAAAAAATGTGTATTACACCGTCTATGGTGATCCACAGCAAAAGCAGGATGTTGATTTCTATGATAAATTATTGAACCGATACTTACGTTTGGATTTTAATTTGAATGAAAATGTAAAAAAGTGGCGCAAATTACATCCACATTTTGAAGAGTTATCGACAAAATTGAAAGCAGTTCGTGTATTGGATCAGGAGCCATTGGAGAATATTCTTTCCTTTATTTGCAGTCAGAATAATAATATTAAAAGGTATGTCAGACTCTGTAAATAACATATGAATAATCTTATAAATATGCATTAAGTTTACAGAAAGGGACTTGATGGTAATCGAAATCGAAGAGAAGACCATCAAGACTTCGTGTGGAAGATTAGAATGTTTACGACCGGGAAATCAGAAAAACTTCGTGTGCTGGACCAAGAGTTCTTTATATGACATTCCGAAAGGCCTATATAAGTTATTCCCATAGAAGTCTAGATCTTCCTATAGAAGACAGGAAGGTCTTCTTATAGACAAGAATGTCTTCCAGAAATACAAACAAGAGGTCATCTCATAGAAGACCAGAATATCTTCGAATAGAAGTCCAGATGGCCTTTCTTTACGAATCAAAAAGGTTTTTGTATGCAAGGAAGTCCAGCAGATCTTTGCAGGGAAGACTAACAGGTTTTAGTAGATTTAAAAAAAGAAGTTTCATAGTATTTTTGTAGAATGACAGAAGTTCTTCTTATAGAATACCTGAGGATTTCTCATAGAAGGCCAAAAGGACTTCTTATAGAAGACCACAAGGTCTGCTAATGGAAGATTTGAAGGACTTCTTATAGAAGACCAGAAAGACTTCTTATAGAAGAACAGAAGGTCTTCTTATAGAAGACCAGAAGGTCTTCTTATAGAATACCAGAAGACCAGAAAGTCTTAATGAATACCTGAAGGGATTCTCATAGGCAGACCAAAAGGCTCTTCGAAAGACAAACATTTCTTGAAATAGAAAACAACATTTTCTTATAGAATACACAGGAGTAGGAGCCACAGAAAGTCATCCATACGATGCCATATTTATAGTTAGTTGAGATCTATGCCCAATCTTTATTTATCAACTTCTTTCAATTTTCCTTACTTACACTTCAGAATATCATCTATGATTGAGTGGCTTTGCTATCGTTATGGAAATAAAATTGGAAATTTCCATGCCAAAGATGTCTATACATTCCCCTCCCTGGAGTCGTTGGTGAAACATCAAGGAGAGGTAAAACTCATATAATACAATCGATTTTTAAAAATAATAATATTACAAAATACCTTTCCAGTTGGAAGCCGAATTACGAACAGCAAAATTTGGATATCGTGCAAAATTCATAGCACAATCGGTGGCGAAAATACATGAGTTTGGTGGCACAAAATGGTTTGAACATTTACGCAAATTATCATATACCGAAGCGCGTAATGAGCTAGTAAAATTGACGGGTATTGGTTTTAAAGTTGCCGATTGTATTTGCCTTATGTCGCTGAATCATCTAGAATCAGTGCCCATCGATACACATATTTTCAAAATTGCTCAAAGTGTTTATATGCCACAGTTGAAAACGGTTAAGGCCGTAACACCAAAGATCTACGAAGAAATTGCTGATAATTTTCGAAGTATTTATGGTCCTTATGCGGGATGGACACAGGCGGTAAGTTCGTTTATTACACCCAATATACTTTAATAACATAATTATTTTTTAGGTATTGTTTTGCTCCGAGTTACAACAATTTCATACTCCAACGGAGGATGTAAATACATTGTCTAAGCCCAATGCAAAAAAGAAACGCAAATAAATACAATACGATATTGTAAGTAATTGTTCTGTAAATATTCTTTATTTCATATTTTAGTTATTTAGTTTTCCTTTCATTCTTAATTATAGTCTATATAGTATTACAAAATAGCCAACTGTTTAACAAAATAGTATATTTATAGTAGGAAAACTGCTATAACACACTACATGTATCCCGAAGTGGTTTTAAAACTGCCAAGTAAAATGAAATAAAAAGAAAAAAAAAACTGTTATCAAAAATAAATATCTAAGTAAATGCATTTGAACCTTACTGCATTCCATCTATGCTGATTTGTACTTGAGCGACCATCCAAAAAATTCTTGTGACGACACATGATTTTCAAAATAGCTTGTATATCCTACAAGTTATAGTCCACCATGTTGTGTTTCATCTTCTTCGGCATCTTCCATTATTTTTTCTTCAGTCTGTACCTTTATAAATTCAGAATGTTATAAAATTTTGAATTTTTTCGATTTATATTCTTGATTACCTTAAATTTCCTTGCCTCTTTGCTGTTATCATTTTCCTGGGGGCTATCTGAGCCATCTGTTGTTTTGATAAATGACGAATAGAATGATGAAAAACTTGAACCATCCATATCATCACTGTTACCATTACTATCAGTGTTGGGCTATAGGAAAGAAGTTGTTAAAATTAGTTGAATACATTTTGTAACCCCAATAAATTTGAAATTTACCTTAAGTGTGTTATCATTGTGCTGATCTGAGACATAATCACCCATAACTGATACAATAGGTGAACCTGCAATTCCTTTCTTTGAGGAATCCGAAGGAGCCTATTTCAAGGGTTAAAAATAACAGTTATATATTTTATGAATCGATTTAGGTTAGGGTTAGGTTGAAGTAGTAGGACATGCACTTAATGCAGTGAAGACCTGTTGTGATTTCCAGAAAGAAAACGTTATGTGAAACATATTGAGATTGGTCTCCCTATTCTCATGTCGTTCAAATTGGGTTTAATTGGTTTGCAAAGTTTTTCTTTTCCCCATGCTCTTCCGACTCATCTATTCTAAGTTTTGCTTCGTCTTATCTTCATTTGGGTCGCTCCATAATATTTAATGTCTTTTGCAGTCCCCTTTATTGCTTGAACCTCTGCCTGAAGCATTGTATTGTGATATGGCAGGCGAAGGGAATTCCATTCCCTGGTTCTTCAATAAAAAGTCCCAGTTCCCTCCTTACTTATATATGCTTTCACATAGATCCCTTATTTTCCGATTCTCAGGGTATAACTGACCCCATTGAAGACAATTTTCAATATAGGTCCATGTTTTCGCAAAGCCACATATAAACGTTCCGTCTCAATATAAATATATTGAAGGATATTGCCAGATTTTCTCCGTTGGCTATTTTTGTATGTTAGCATTTCGTTTTCCTAATGAATAAATACCCTCACATCTTAAGTTGCGTCATGTTTTGACTAGCGCCCATATAAAAGTTTTTAAAACATAAAACTCTCCTGAAAGAAAATTTTTCGATGAAGGTTCCAATTTCTCCATGTATATTTATTTTCGAACCGTAGTAGCTAGAAGTTGGTATTTCAGGTTCTCAGATTATAACAGATCCCTTTGGCGTATATTATAAGGCCTATGTTTGGCAAAGTCACCATATTAAAGTTCCATCACAATAATTTTGAATTTCCGATTTCCTAAAAAATATCCCTCCTCAGTGTTGGGGTCATGTTGACATACCCCCTATATAAAGGCTCAATCCCATTATAGTTATTATTAAGGGTTTTCTGTGAATAAAAACCTGTTGGGAAGAAAATATCCCTTGTAAGCACCTGTTTTGACAAATTTAAAGTATTTTAAAAGCTCTAGCCTAGTTTTCCAGTCGAAGTGATTCTAATTTCGCATTTCAGGGTCTCACAAGATAACAGGACACCTTGCCGATACATTTCAATAAATGCTCATAATTTGAAGTAGCCTAAAAATTAAAAATTCCGACCGATTTTAGATATTTCAAAGGTCCTAGGTCCAACCGAAGTAGCTAGAATTGGGTTCTTAGAGGATAATAAACATCCAGGGAGACATAGGTCTATTTAGACTCATTTGGTTCTTTACTATGAAGATCGTTCTGTTCGAACTTAAATCTATACATACCATATTTGATCCTGGTTCCGCTTTAACCGAAGTTGCCTGTGACGATGGACGTTGCAGCTGTACTGGTGTAATGGAATGAAAAGCTCCCTGTTGCTGTTGTTGTTGCTGCTGTTGTTGAGGCTTAGAATTGTTAGGGGCCACCATTAAATTTTGACTCTACCGGGGAGGAAAAAATAACCGAAAATATAATACTATTCACCTCTTATGCGGTGCAATAACATTTATTTCCACCTTACCGTTCGAAAATCTACAGCCGATCCGACACTTCTTTCCGGCGCCATACTTATATTACTCGTGACATTTGAAAAAGAGACCGGTTGATACATCATTGCAGCTGCAGGATGGGTATAGAATAAAGGCGGGTGTGCGGGATACATAACACCTGTCATATACTGTAGAGGTAATGTTTGATTTGAAGTACTTGGCATATCGGCGGTGTTACGTTTAGCTTGTACGGCTGCTGCAGCGGCAGCAGCGGTAGGACCTGGAGCGGGTATATAATAAATTGTGGGAAACATACTGTGCGGAGGTGTAAAACTATTTTGGGCTATGGGTGATGTGTGTGTGGTATGGGTGGAAAGGCCCACCGAAAAAGGGGGCCATAAATTAACACTGCGTGTATAATTGAGGCCAGTGGTATAGGGTATTCTCAAGGCAGAACTATCCAAGGTGGTTTGGCGATTATTAAATACTTTATTGTTATTGTTGGGATTACAGGAAGGTTGGTTGACATTGTGATGTTCCACGAAATCTCGTTGCATATCCACGAGATTGGTGTGTTGTTGTTTGGGGCGATTTGCTTCACCCTCCCACGAGTGGCAACCCACACGTTTTATACCATGTCCCGGTCCACTATACTCCATAGTTTTATCTGAGGATTTTTTATTCTTTTCACCACATCCTCGTCCGCGGGATTCTCGATGTTTCTTAAGCATAAACTTTTCCATTTCATCATTATGTTTCTTGAGTAAAGATTCGGTGAGTGTGACCAAAGGAGCACTACCCGAAGAGGTACCTGTCCCGGTATTACTGGTATTCGTAACACTACCCATATTCAAATTACTACCCGATGTACAATTCCTCGACGAGCCACTGCCTCCACTATCCTCAAAACATTGCATTGGACTTAAATTACTGCCCGTATCAGCCGGTGTACTATACGATTGTTCCATTTTAATGGGATCCGTTTCTACGGGTGCTGTAACAGGCTTGCTGTTAAAAAAACGTTGCAAATTTTCATTATAATTCAATTGATTGTAGGATGGTGGTGTCTCAATGGAACTTTTACTGTCATAGTAGTCGTGATGTGGTGAAATTTCACCCAACATTACGGAGTCTCTTTCCGAGACGGTTAGCTCATTTTCATTTGGCAGCTCCAATTTGAGATCTTGACGTGCCACCTCATTCATTAGAGGTTCCATAAAAGATGCCAAAGCCTGACAGCGACGTGAAACTTCTTGTTTCACCGTATCACTGGGACGGGATATTGTTTCGGACAATAGCTTGAGAATGTCCTCCTTAATGCGGGTTATACGTTGCATTGCCTCTTCTGAGAGTTTGGGTTTGTTCGATGGTGGTGGATCGAACACGTTTAGATTTTTAGGACCTGCAAAAAGGAAATCACATCATTTTGAAATTAAAAACGAAGTATATTGAACAAAGTTTTCAAATGTACCTTGAAATACCCGATGATGACCAATAACAAATTCCAGTTTCCTGGACCATGGATTAACAAAACTAGTCCATTCTGTATCCAAGAGTACATAACAGCCATTCTGCACGAGGAATCTATAGGGCTTGCTGCAAAATGAAGCTCCCGCCGTTTGTCCCTTTTTCATAACCGTTTCATAGATTTCCTTCAAAACAATGAGATCTTCATGATGATAAAAATCCAAAATGGAACGACCGATAAGATCTTGTGGTAAGTAACCCAAGGCCGATACAGCTCCACTATCCACCGTGGAAATAATACCAGTCTTTGTGTGGCGTATTGCAAATTTGGGAGTTTTGCGGGACAATAATTCATCGCATACTGGAAAAAAGTGAAGAAAAATTAAAGGAACTAGGTAAAAAAGGGCAGTTGTTCCACCATAAATTTTTTGTCTAAGACCCTATTATTTATCAAAGTAACTTTCTAAATTGATGGAGCTCAAAATATTAAATATAGATTTGTGAAATTTTGAACCTACATTGCTAACTTCCCTATTATGGAAAACGATTTCGAATGGCACCTATGCTCCATTTTCGGTACCTTGAACAGATCTTAAGCACATTAAAAAATGCCTGTAACTAGACATTTTGAAGAAATAAAGTCAATATAGACCCAAGTTTTGAAATTCCGTTCAACCTACGTAGCTTAAATTCGTCATTTAACGTTTTCAGGTGGTAAAATATCCCTTACAGAAAATGTGCAACATGGTCCTATGTTTTGACACAGCAGATATATTGCAAATAATCCTAGGAAGTTTGGCATTGAAATGAGATATATAAATCCACGATTTAGAATAGCTCCTATTCTATAGTATCGCCCTATTTGGGATATTTAAGTTCTTAGGGGATAAAATACCTTCACACAAAATATTTTAATATAGGTCCATATTTTGATATAGCCTCCGTTTGAGGGTTCCGCTCAAGTTTTAACGGTTCTAGACGCATTTTTCGATCAAAATGTATCTCTAATTTGTCAATTAGGGTTCTAAGAGAGTAAATTGTCTTCCTGAAATAACAATTTCAATTTAGGTTCATGTTTTGATCCGTATTCCATACAAAAGCCACATCCCATTTATGTATTTTTAAAGGTTCGCGACTTATTTTCAAACTTATGTGAGTGTGATTAGTCATTTGAGATTCTCGGAGGCTAAACTACAATCTCGCAGCAAGTTTTCGGTACTGGTCCATGTTTGGGTTCCGTCCACATTTTGATATAGCCTCCATTTGAGGGTTCTGCCCAATGGTAGGTGTTTTAATGATTCTAAGCGCATTTTTCGATGGAAGTGTAATCGAATTTGTCATATAAGGTTCTAAGAGGGTAAAATGTCTTCTTTAAATAATAATTTCAATGTAGGTTCATGTTTTAATCCGCCTTCCATACAAAAGCCACATCCCATTTAGGTGCTTTAAAGGTTCTCGACACATTTTCAAACTTATCTGAGTGTGATTAGTCATTTAAGATTCTCGGAGGCTAAACTACATACCGAAGAAGTTTTCGGTACTGGTCCATGTTTGGGTTTCGCCTAATTTAATGTGTTTAAAGGCCCTAAGCGCATTTTCCAATCAAAGTGGCATATTTGGAGGATATATGTCATTCGCGCAGGAAATGCTCATAATAGGTCCATGTTTTAACATAGCCCTCATATAAAGGTCACGCCTATTTTTGACGGTTCTCTATACATTTTCAAACCTATGTAACTGTAATTTGCTATTTTGCCGTTCTCGAAGGGTTAAAAAGGTAGATCCATGTTTTGATATATCCTCCATATGAAGGTCCCGACCATTATAGGTATTTTGAATGTCTTTGCCTTGTTTTCCACCACTGTTCTGTAATCTGAGGGTTTTTGGAGGGAAAAATACGTTGTTGAAATATATGTTATGTTCTGGTCTATGTTGGGGTTCTAAAATAGGTTAATATTTGAGTCCCACACAATTTTTCTTATCGAATTTTGCTTTTTGTTTCTCGGGGGTTAAAATATATTTCCGCAGAAAATTTTCTATATATAGGCTCATAAAAAAATAAATTGCCATTTTGGGTTCCGTTTAAATATAGGCCTTTTAAAAACTCCTGTTATGTTTAACATATCTGGCTGCAATTCAGCACATCGTGCTCCCTCAGGGTAAAAGTCCCCATCTCAGATATTTTAAATGTAGATCCATGTTTTGGCATTTTCCCCATACAAGAGTTCCGCACTATTTAAGGTATTTTCGTAATGCGTTTATTAATTCTTCAACCTAATAGGCATTACGGGTCCTTGTTTTCTGTGGCTATAAGACCACAACCAAAAAAAATCAATATATCGGTTTGTCATTCTTTAATGGTCCTGACCAAATTTTGCAACTTAAACGCTATTTCGAATTGGTTGTAATTTAGCACTCCGGTTTCTCAGAGGATAAAAAATCGACAAAATGTGAATTTTTCGGGTGGAGGTGTTTGAAAAGAAGAAATAAGACTTCGTTACATACCCTTATATGCACTTTTTATGGGCGTTGCACATATTACCAACAGCATATTTGTACCACTCGGCAACGAGTTATCCGACCTCGCCTCTTCGGGTGCTTCACGAAATGTTAAACCCAAGCGGAAAGGTTCATAATTCACTGAACGTCCAATAACACCATAACCACCAGATTTTAGACCACGATAACGTCTCAGCATTACACAGCATGAACTGCGGGCATCTTTCGGTATACTACTTCGTGACTCGGCAATGGGGATGCCCGTCGTTATTTGACTTGCAAATGTGGCACGATCTTTGGGATGTACAAAATCGATAAATGACCTGCCCAACCACATATCTCTGGGGAAACCCAGAACATCTGTAATACTGGGTGTGGTATACAGGACAATGCCATCGTGCATTGATATGACACAACAGAAACTATCCTAAAACCAAACCAAAAAATATAAAATTAAAGGGATTTCCATTAAGAATGTTTTCCTTTCGATTTACCTCTTTAAGTTTTTCAGTTTTACCCGATGTCTCCAATTTACCCGGTGCAGATTCACATGTCTTTTCCGATTTGACACCTTGATTGGTGGTGGCCGATAATGGTGATGGTATGGGAGACTGCAGTGACTTTTCCAATTTGGTTTCATTACTTTCCTTTTCCAAATTTTCTTTATTGTCCTTTTGGCGATTGCCCTGACCTATTTACAAGAATTCGGAAATTAATTTTTTAAAATTTTATTTTTGTTTTCCCCGCCAGCCTTACTCATTGTAATATCATTGAGTTCATTTTCTTCATCCGCTTTTGTTTCGGTTGTTTTGGCCGCATCTTCCTGTGAATCCAAGGTATTTGCCACCGTTGCCGAACACTTTTGTTTCTTCTTCTTCCGGCCCTTGTCCTTACCCCTTTTGTTAATGTGAATTTCACTTTGTGTACAATATTGAAGAAGAATACGATTAGTTTCAAAAATAATATTGAATTGGAAATCTAGGTTTTAACCTGCTGGTTTGTGTTGAGGGTTTGCCGCCATAACCACTGCTGCCGGATGAATGGCTGCCACTTAGGCGAGATTTTGAACTGCCGCTGTAAGGAAAGGGAAATAAAGTACATAAGTTAGGTGTAAGGATTAAACAAATTAAAGACTGAAGACTTTTCAGGATAGGTCAATATTTGGAATCGGTTAAATTTATGTATAGGAAAGGTTCTAGACACGTTTTCCAATCGAAGTGACCGTAATATAGCCATCCGGGTTATTTTTAATATAAAAGGCGTTCTTGCAGAAACATTTCTATGTAGGTCCATAATGTTTTATTTTGAGGTACTACGCAATTTCAAGTATTTGCAGAATATTTTCAAAATAGTTCCATTTTGAGTTCCATACAATTTTTTTGTATTTTAAAGGCCTTTAGGCCCATTTTCCAAGCAAAGTGGTAATTATTTGGAATCCGAAGTGCCTCTGATTATAAAAGGCCTCATCGCAGATATTTCTCAGTATAGGAGCATGTTTGCAAATGGCCACCATATAACGGTTCCGAACCATTTTATTATACCCTACAAAACTATGTTGTCAGGGTATTATAGCTTTGTGCAGCCCCAAAAGTTTGTAACGCCGCGAAATATTGGTCCTAGACCCACCTTTAAGTATACCGATCGTCATATCTCGACTAGCTGAGTCGATCTAGACATGTGTGTCCGTCCGTCCCTCTGTCCTTTATAATTTGTAAACACGATACAGGCCACAGTTATGGACCAATCTTCATGAAATTTTACATGTATGATGGGTTCTGGCCAATGGAGACCCCTATTATTGTATAAGTTTGACCAAAAACTTTTTTTTCGGTTTTTCTGGTCGCTCCAGAGGCTGTAATTATGGCCTAAACACCGCGAATTTTTGCATGGAAAAAGGTATTGGGCCAAAATTTGTATTCTATAGCGTATATATTTACCCCTGAAGAACAAAGACCCAAGGAATTGATACCATATCCAAGAGGAGTGGTTGACCTTTAAATTTATACCAATTATATATTTACAGGTGCTAATGTATTTATATATTATATAGCAACCCATTAGAGGGCGGAAATATAGCTCTAAACGCTTTGAAATTTTCCATGAGATTTCAGTTATGGTCAATGACAACGCCTATAATTTTCGGCGATGATCAAATAATGAAGTGGACCGAAAACTTAATTTGTTGTGTATTTTTGAGTCGAAGTATAGGCCACAATTGAAAGTCAAACATCACAACAGAACACACGGTGAAGGGAACTGGACAAGTAATTAGAAGGACTGTACAGAATATTAGTAATACTGGGAAAATATTTCAGTATAAGGAAGAGGAAGGAAGGAAGGAAGAGTGCTGTTGACCTCTAATCGGCAACAGGGTGTAGATATCACGAAATAATGCCCAGGCTTGGAATAAACATCCACACAAAGATACAGTTCCGTGGTAGTTGTGTAGGGTATCGTATGGTCGGCCCGTCCGACTATACTCTGCTCCGCTCACTGGTTTATTTTACTACCTTATTCTAAGACCTAATCGTAATTTCAGGTTCCCAAGGTATCTCTTCTTATCCACTAACCCAAGTGTCTGCAATTTATCTGTTCAAGTTCAGCGAAGAAATTTTGGAACTATCGCAGAAACGTTGAATATAGGTGAATTTTTTTAAATAGCCCCCAAGACAATGTTCTTGCCTTATTCTTCAACCTAATCGCCATTTCTTAAGTATGAGTCCATTATGGGTTCCCATCCAATTTTAGGATTCTTGATGTTCTTCATCACTTATTTCATCCGAAGTGTCAGTAGTTTAACAGAGCAGGTTCACGGAAGTCAGAGAAAAAATTTCGATATAAGTTCATATTTTGTGGTTCCGCACCATTTACATTTTTTAAAGACATTTTCCTCATTCCGCCACCTAATCGTCATTTCGGGCCTTAATGCCTTAAGATCCTTGTCAAGGTAGAACATGTCGAATCCTACGTTTGTTGAGTGTTCATATAACAAAGTAAAAATATTATTTTGTTAGATAAATATGATAGACAAATGAAAAAATACACGAAACTAAATTTATTATACCATACGTATACCCATCAATTTCTTCAAACAACAATTTTGTATTTTTAGAAAATATTTGGATTTTTTTCTAGGAATAACAAAATTATATTTGTTGTCTGTAATATGTCGTTTATGCAACAATTCCATCAAAAATATATTTTTGTTTATAAAACAATGTGTCTCCTTTAGGACATGTTATAGAATATCGAATTTCATTTGCATCCCCCGTATGATATTTTCCAATATGACCATTGGAAATTTAGTTTGAATTTGGTATTTATAAATAAACACGTTTTCAAGTTGTATATTTTAATGGGTGTTTTATTATATAAGTTAAATGTGTTTGCTCACTTCTTGAGAAGTAGAATAGCATATTTTCTTACGTATAAGACAGTTCATTTACAAATTGTTAAAAGCAATCATGGACCAGACTTCTAATATGTCAATGAATTTAATTTTAAATAATATTTGGGAGCGGTTCAATTTATGTGTATATTAAGGGTTTTCTTTTTGCTAATCCATAACATTTCGTATATAAAACTCATTATTACTTCCAAACCAGTCGAGTTTTAGAATCTGTGTTAGCCCCATATAACGTTACCACCCTAATATAGGTTTTTTGGGGATTCTATGACGATTTAAGCATGCCCGTCTGTATACTGTAATCGCTGTAGCTTCTAAACGAATTGAGATAAATCACCAAAATTTTGCATGGATTTGTCATTTGTCGATCCACGTTTAGGCATAGCCCCCATATAAGGGTACACCCCAATTTTCTATATTTTGGGGTTCTTGAGCGCGCTTTTCAGCCGAATTCGCTGAATTTCTCGAATTCAGTCGTATTTGGTAACAAATCTTTCTCCTAAAAAATATTTATATTCGCTCCCTTATGACCCGTTTTTACACCCTTCACCACACTGTGGTACAGGGTATTGTGTGTGCATATGCTTGTAACTGGCAAAAGGAAACGAGATAGACACATGGTTCCTTTTTAGAATATGCATAGAATCACTTTCTAAATCGGTTTATGCATGTCCGTCCACCCGTCCGTCCGTCTGTCCACGTTAAATTGTGTCTGTCCACGTTAAATTGTAAATATATTTAGATATAGCAGATATAGTTCCCATATATATCTTCGTCCGATTTAATGTAAATGATTCACAAAGTTCCTACTTATCTTTCGATTTGCTCGAAATTTGGCACAGCGTAATAAATTATGTCTAGAATGATGTGTGGAAAGTTTCGTGAATATCGGTTTAGATTTAGGTATAACTCCCATATCTTCGTCCGATTTAAGGTAAATGGTGCAACAAAGTCCGTATATATCTTTCGGTTTGCACGAAATTTGGCACAGCGTAATAAATTATGTCTAGAATGATGTGTGTTAAGTTTCGTGAAAATCGGTTCAGACTTAGATATAGCTCCCATATATATTTTGGTCCGATTTAAGGTACATGGTGTACCAAAGTCCCTATATATATCTTTCGATTTGCACGAAATTTGGCATACCGTTGAATTAGGTCTAGAATGGTGTGTGTTAAGTTTCCTGAAAATCGGTTCAGATTTAGAATAGCTCACATATATATCTTGGTCTGATTTAATGTAAATGGTGTACCAAAGTCCCTATATATCTTTCGATTTGCACGAAATGTTGCATAGGGTACTGAATTAAGTCTAGAATGATGTGTGCAAAGTTTCCCGAAAATCGGTTCAGATTTAGATATAGCTCCCATATATATTTTGGTCCGATTTAAGGTAAATTGTGTACCAAAGTCCTTTCGATTTGGACGAAATTTTGCACAGCATAATAAATTAGGTGTATAATGATGTGTGTTAAGTTTCGTAGAAATCAGTTCAGATTTATGTATAGCTCCCATATATATGTTTGTCCGATTTAATGTAAGTTGTGTTCCAAAGACCTAAAGTTAGGTCGATTGACACAAAATTGTGCAGAACATACTGCAGTTAATATAACCTACCATGTGGAAAGTTTGGATATTATATATTTTTTCTCCAGATTTTAAGTAAATGATGCACCAAGAACTCAAATGTGGCCGATATTCACAAATCATACTGAAATTTGTATAATTTCGTATTAGTACGCAAACGACTATAAATCTGCCCGAATAGGTTGCAGAAAGGCATGTGCATGGATGTTGGTCGGTTGACTTTAAGTTTGTACAGTGTTACCACGAAGCAACATTGACATGAAGTAGTTAGAATACATATCGACGACTCCGAACCATAGTATGCTAAGTCTGAAAAGTGAGTTTTTCTGTAGAAGCTTTTAAAGTATGAAAGTTTCTTTTATCGTACGTGCCATGCTAAGCACATTTTTGCTTATAACTTTGGTTTGGATTGACCGATGATTACCAAAATTTCAGTGAATTTAAATAAGGGACCGTAGTATCTAAAATCGTAAAGAACTTTAAAACATGCTAAGTCGACTTAGCATACTATGGTTCGGAGGCGTCGATATGTAGAATATACCCAATGTGGTGAAGGGTATCATACAGTCGGCCCAGCCCGACTTTACTACTTTCCTTTCTGGTTTATATTTAAGAAGTTAATTTATTTGTTCCGCGTTTTTGGGTTCTCTCCATATAGCCAAAATCCACCATAGTTTGGGGGATATTATCTACTCAAAATGTTCAGAGTATACCCCAAAAAATATGATTATAACATCGAGATAAACAACTAGAACCTCATGTTCGAGAATGCACTATACCGGCCCTCATGTAGGTTTAGCTTCATATAATGATACCTACCAATTTAATATTTAAAGATATATATAGTCATACAAAACGAGGTTAGATTAGAATTTGAGCTATATCGGTCCTCAATTAGGGATAGCCCCTCATATGGTAACTCCAAATGTTCGGTAATTCTTAGACGATATTGATCACCCTTATGTATAGAACCACACATGACTTTGGCATGTAAATTGCAGTACTTTGATGATTTTATACACATGTTGCAACCTACCATGCTTCATCAATATCGGGTCACGATTTGGAGTTTTGAGATTTTAAAAATCTCCATAAAAAATTGCTGACATATGTATTTCGTGTGCATTATGGCTTACAACAATCGTATGATAGAATTGTCGGTATAGAACACATCCTTAAATCAGAAGATTCGACAGTATAATTTCAAAGGCCCGGCCGAACTTAACTCTTTTTTCACCTGTTTGTATTCTCATTGGGTGTGAAATGTAAGTACCAAAACCTACCAATATACTTGGGGATTTTCATCACGTTTTTTTGACTAACTCGTCTATATTTCAATTATAATTAAGCTGTACCATAGTTTAATACCACAACGATTCATGCTATTTTGATAATAAATACTGCAAAAAAAATAATATTTATTTTTTTTAATTTCACAGTTGTAATCAATGATCAGTGACAAAACGTGTCCAAAAATAATTTGATAAATTAATTTTTTAAAATTTTTACCGCCACCCTTATATGAGATATTTATTTATTTCTCTGGCCCATAGTGCATACATAATTATTACACTACCACACCTTTGGCATGTATGCCAAAGCGTTTATGGCCCTACCAAATATTAAAAAATGTCCTGTTATTAAGTTTTCCGGGTGCTTTCGCACGGCATTTTCTCATCGAAGTGGCGGCAAATTATCATTCCAGATTCCTGACGAATAAAAACTTCTTCTTAAAAAATATTCAATATATGACCCTACAATGGTTTCTAGTCTAGTTTTTCTGCTTTCCGGATAATTGTTAGAGGATCATGTTTTGACATAGCCCCACCACATTTACGACATTTTGCAGGTCTTTGGACTAATTTCTGGCATTCTGGATTCCTGGAGAATATGGAATGGAGAATTGAAATGTTGACACTGATTTTTGCCTAGACTATTATGAGCAGAACACGTTCAAATGGTATAACCGGGCCGAGAAGGTAACCGAAAAAAACTCTTCAAAGTTCTGTCAAATGGGAAGGTTTTGATCCCTTATTTCAATAGGGGATACTACCTGAAACGCGAAGAACTAAGAAACGCACAGAGGTTAAATAAAAATTTATTGTTTTGTTCCAGCATGTTTTCTACCAAGTACGTTTTTATACCCTCCACCAGAGTATATTAAATTTTCCATTCCCGCGCAACACATCGAAATATTCTCGGGAGGCCGTTGGTTAAGCGGCTCATCAGGCATATTGGTCAATGTGGCTTACAAATGTCGTTACTTGATATGTTGTATTTATGTCGAATATTGTTGCGAAATTGCATCTACGAATTATATTCAACCGTGTCAAGGTTCTGACATTTGGCATCACACCAGAACATTTCTTTTCAGAGAAAAATGTTTCTTGTAGCGATTGATTGTTTTTCCATACAGACTACAATATTTTTCTTTGCTACGTTTGGTCCTCACTGGGTGTCAAATTTTCCAAACAAAAATTATCAATGTCAGTTTACGGTTTGATATAACTACCACAGAAAGGTATCATTTTCGGTATTTTTAAGACTTAAGGCGCATTTTCGAACCGATAGAACTGTAATTGGGTTCTGGAAGGCTGACTTATATACACATTTGTGCGGTATATATATCGGACCAATTTCTGATATAACCCCACCTAAAGTTCAGCTTTTATCGGTATTAATATAATTTTAACCGAATTTTCTCATAATTTGACATATCGAATGAATGAATAAAAAATAAATTAAAAATGTCAAATTTCGGTTATCCAACTAGAGTGTTTGTAATTTGAAACACTTTTTTTTGGGAGCATGAACAACCTACTATCACATAACACCATACTATAGTCCCCATATAAATGTCCCGATCGACTTAAGAAACGACGTGTTTACCTTTTAACAGATGTCATTGGTTAATATTCGGTCACTTCGCCCAAAAATAGCTTAGTATCCACTGCAATTGAAGATTACAGTGACACATTTTTTATGGGTCAAGTCAATAGACGGGTATTTTCATCTTGGTTACTATTTCTTTCAATCAATGGCCACACACAATTAAGAAAACATACCTTCTTTGGGATTGACTGTTACTGCAACTGTTTGAATATGCCGAATCTGACACCTTAGTGTTGTGTGTTGATTCTGTAGATTCGCCTTCCATTTTTGTTATTTTTTGTAGTTTATTGTGCACTTTTATTGTTTTTAATTGCAAAAATTGGTGTAATTGGCCTCTTCACTATGTTTTATTTTTATTTATAAAATTCCATAAAAATATATACTTATTGGCTATATTTCATTATTTTTTATATTTCACTTGATTTTATTTTTTTCCTTTAAAATATTTCAAAATAATTATTCAAAACACTAAATAACTTATTTGTTGTTTAATTAATTTATTTTATTGTTGTTGTATTTTCTGTTATTGTGTATTAATGGGTAGAATATTTATTGTTACAAATTATTATTTTATTTTGTTGTTATTGTTGTTTTTTATTCCCACAATGTATCCGCTGTGCATTATTAGTCGACACTGAACGCTGCTTTGTAAAACAATTTGACTATATCTGACGTGCATCCCTTATGGGATCACGTGTCAGTGGCAGTGTTCGAAGTAGCACATGTTCTTCAGGGATGTTTGCGTCGTCTACATGATTACGTACGGGTGTCAGTACCACCCACCCACTCACTCACCCATTCATCCATCTATCCAAGCATATCGTCCATCTATCCATTCCATAATACAAAACACACAGAAAATACCATTGCCATCGTCACCATTTAACCATCTTTTGTCGCCACGCACGACAATGGCCAATGTGCCATGAAATACAGCAGTTGTAAGGCAAGCAACAGATACACCATGTCGTACATGTGGTCTTATGGAATTCCTCCTTCTCAAAAGGAAAAAAAAAAAAAAAAAAAAAACAAATAAGGATGAACACCGTTTTCGAATTGATTTTGTTTGTGGGGTTTTCCAGAAAATTCGAAACGTTTTAGTGTTTCGTTATTCATATCCGTTATTTGTTTGTTTGCGTGTGTGTCTGTGTTTGCGAATATTTGTAGTGCGATTTTCATGAATCATTTATGACCACATTTCGAATACTCTTTACCCATATTTAAATGAGTTATGTTTATTATTATTGTCGTTGATGCATGGAGAGACATTATTCTCTTTTGGAGATTATCTGTAGTTTGTTTAGGTTTAAAATGTTTTCATGGAATTATACCGAATATAAAGGGATTGGATGTAGATGAAATACATCATTCTATCCTACAAGTCCTAGTAGAGTAGAATGATGGAATATAGTAGACCTTTTATATTTCGAAATTTTGTAAAAAGAAGCTAATCATACAGATGACATTTTTATGAAGCCTCCAGAATGCATCGCCTTGAGAACAACCTAAAAGAAATGACAGGAGATAGCGTCATCCAGAGGCAAATGACAACACTAAAATAAGCAAGAATCGTCTGCTGTAGCTTGACCTATGTGATGATGTCATCTATCGGTACATAAAAACAAACCTCATTAAATTCTGCGCATTGGCTGAGAATTTAATGAGGTTTTGTTTCTAAGTACCGATAGATGGCAGCTTCATCACATAGGTCAAGCTACAGCAGACGATTCATCAACATAGCTGGAATAAAAAGAAGTGATAACGAAACTAAGACGAATATTAATTGAGAAAGTTGGCGATGCTTTGTAAAAGTACTCTTTTTTCAGAAGACGTAAAAAGTCCATCCAGAAGACGGAGAAAAAAAGTCCATCTATGTGGATAAAAGGTATCCTCTATGGAGGAAGCCACATAATCTATATATAAAATAGTTGCGTTATAAGTGACTGTCTGATCATCAACGCCCAGACGAAACGGCTAAAGATGAGTTGCAACAAAATATTTTTTTGGAAATTAGTACTAAATGCTACTAAAAAGTACTAATACTGTATTACCAAATTTTAATATATATATATATATATATAATTTGTATGTAACTTAAGCTATTACAAATAGAATTATGGGCAAAAATGTTTTTTATACTCTCCACCATAGTATGGAGGGTATATTAATTTTGTTTTTCCGTTTGTAACTCATCGAAATAATCATTTCCGACCTATTCTAAGACGATCTAAGCAAGTCCTTCTGTCCCTCTGTTGTAATCACTCTAGCGGAGGATAGCGAGATAAAAAATTAGAACCTAGCCCCTGTGTGGAGGTTCCAGAAGGAGTGGACCGATATTCACCATCTTCGAATTTGAACTAAGTTTGGAAGAAATAATAGGATGGGCAAAGTTTGGACGAAATCTAAATTTTCTGAAACGGATTTGGTCCAAAGGAACATCGAAATATTGGTTCTAGACAATATTTCGATGAAACACATTTTCACCGTGTTAAAGTGTATACGCCTTCATTAGCCATAAGGCTGAGGGTATAATTATTAATTAAAAAATTCTGAAATTTGTATTATGGTTTACACCAGGGACGTACGCAGGACGAAATGAATCTTTTCACAATAAATTTATGTTTGCAACAGCGAGTTTTTTCATTTTGTACTACCGGGCCCCCCGAAATGAAATCCTGTGTACGTTGCTGGTTTACACTATGGTTTACATAATCCGTTTTAAAGAATGTCGGTATAGGTCCACTTTTTGATATGTTCCCTATATTTTCATTTCTAGTCTAAAGGAAATTGTAAATACCTCTCATTAAAAATCACAACATTGGTATTAGGCGTTCCAATATCAAAATACCTGTACCTAATTGAAGAATGCCTATATAGGGCCTATGTAGGGCCTTATATCAATAGAAGTGCAACTAAAGTTTTTACGCAAACTTACATTAAATGTGAATATGACATAGCCCGCACATAGAGCAACTTACCTTGGTACCTTCCAATATTATAGAATATCTATATAAGATGAATAAAGCGAGTGGTGAAACTATAGATTTAGCTGAGGTCAACGATCTCTGGTACCTCCATTACAAACCGTTCCTATTTTGAAAAAGTGAAAAAAGCGTTAAGTTCGGCCGGGCCGACAAATTGGATACCTTCAACCATAGGACAGATACTTTTAATGAAAATATAGAGAACATATCAAAAATTGGACCTATACCGATAATTTTACAAACCGATTTTTGAACACCAAATAGACTGCAGTATAAAATCCTCAAACTACTGCAAATTAGATTGCAACGTTATACGAGGCAATGCCTCAAGGGTAACCAATATTGATTACATAGTGTAGGAATTAGCGACTATCCTCCATACTATGGTAGAATACGCCCATATGGGGACAACCCCATTATGCTACATACATACGTCAGGGTATTATAGCTTTGTGCAGCCCCAAGAGTTTGCAACGCCGTGAAATATTGGTTCTAGACCCACCTTTAAGTATACCGATCGTCATATCTCGACTAGCTGAGTCGATCTAGACATGTGTGTCTAGATCGACTCAGGATCTCGGCTTATGGGCCATTCTTCACAAAATTTTGCATTTATGATGGGTTCGGCCCAATGAAGACCCCTATTGTTTTTGGTAAAGATCGGTTAAAATTTAGGCGATGAAATGGACCAAATACTTAATTTTTGTCGGTTTTTCTGGTCGTTCCAGAGGCCGCAATGGCCCGAACATCGCGAAATTTTACATGGAGAAGGGGGCATCGGGCCAAAGAATAAGTATGCCTTTTTGATAAGGATTGGTCAATATACAGCGGGTCAAATGGACCCTGATTAAGGGAATCTGGACAAGTAATTAAAGGGCTGTACTGAATATATTAGTAATATTCAAAATATATGTCAGTGTAAGGAAGAGGTGCTGTTGACCTCTAATCGGGCAAGCTGCTGCAATTATCACGAAATATTGCCCAGGCTCGGAATAAACATCCGCTGAAAGTAAGAGTTTCGTGGTAGTTGTGTAGGGTATCGTATGGTCGGCCCCGTCCGACTATACTGCTCCGCTCAATGGTTTACTTCTTATTATGTTTGTATATTGATCACAAAAGTCATGCCTTTTATCACGTATCCATTTTCCGAAACACATGCACACATACAAATATTTTCATGATACAAGAAGATAACGTTTCTGTTCTTCCTCACAGGTTTCAAACACATGTTGTGTGCATATACTTATCTCATAATATTTGCGTAAGCAATTCCACCCATTATTAATTCAGTTTTAGGGGTCTCATATCTTAACTATGGTTCAATATGAACTTTTTCATTACAACAATAAATTGTTTATATGAAGAAAATTGACACTTCTTGGTTATGCTGTAAAAATGGATACATGTTTCGAAATAGCTGCAATTGTCGGTATTTTTAAGATTTTACCCGCAATTCTCCACCGGTCCATTGAAAAAACGGCAATATCACATTCAAATTGCTGTAATTTGGCATTCCGGCTTTTCTAAGCGTACAATGCAGTGTTACCACTGCGAATTTAAAAAGAAGTTGCACAAAAGGTCCTTCGCTTAAAAAAAGTCGCACAAAAATGTAAATTTGCCAATAAAACTGTTCCGAGAATATGCCAGATACCCTAGGAACACAAATTCGACGTAGACGAATCCAAATTAGTTTCAATTTACACATAAAAAGGAGAATACAACATAACAAAATCAGGGAAGAAAAGTCGCACTAAGCTCAAAAAGTTGCAAACGGAGTTATAGTCCATCAAAAAGGTTGCAACGGTAACCCTGGTACAATGTAGGTTCAGGTTTTGACATAGCCCTCACATAAAGGTCTTGCCTACTTTTTGCCACTTTTAAGGTTTTAGTAGCATTTCTTCTTGAATGGCGAAAAAAACCTATGTCGAATTTCAAATTTTAAATTTCCATGTGTGGACATATAATGGCTCCGCCTTTTTTTCGGTATTTTGAAGTAGTTCATATGTGGCTGTAATTTGGCATTTCGGATTCTTCTTAAATAAGTGAAAACTGTCCATATAGCTCAATGTTTTACGCCGATGTTCCTAACCCAGTTTTCTAAGCTGAGTACCTACAATTCAGTACTTTATTTTAAAAAAATAAACACCTACTAGCAAATAATTTACAATGATACCGTCACTAGAAGTTTGAAAATCAGTAAGTCGCCTATCAAAGTTCGGAATATCAAACTTTAAACAATTTTAATGACGTCATTACAACTGGGACCGTTACTACAGAAAATGGGTCATATTGATCAACGTTTTCGCATATCACACCCC